GACACTCAAGTTCTTATTGTCATTGCCGGTTGTACATTGCATAATTTCATAAGATCCTAAGGTGAATCTGATGAAATTTTTGATTTTGAAACCCCTCAATCTTCACAAAATGAACCTGATGTGGATGATGATGTTCAGGTGGTCAGTGCTACTAATACACAGATACGACAGATGGATATTCATCATGATCATATTGCCAACCTAATTTGGGAGCACTGTAATCACTAATTATAAAACTGTCTAATTGTGTATAGAATTTTAATATGGATAGCTGTAATAACTAATTATATTACGTAAATTAAACTCAGATGCTCCTTATATATGGATAACTGTAATAACTAATTATATTAGGACATCAAATATTAAATGCTTTAATACTTGTAGGCGCACTTATGTATAGGCTTGAAGGTGAGCGACCACAATGTGCATGTGGTAGAGGTCCTATGCATCTGTATAGGGCTCGAACTCCAAAAAATGATGGTCGACAATTCTATAGGTGTCCAGCTCAGGAGGTATGGTTTTAAACTTTTAGGTGCTATTTCTGTTACTGTTTCTTAATTGTATAATTTATATTTCTTGTAGTCACATATGAATGCATTTATGTGGGTGGATAAGTTGCACCAAGGTGCACAAGTTGAAGAACAGGTTCAATCTAACTTGGACAGAGTCATTGCAATGATTCAAAATGAACAATGTAGACAGAAGTACATGCTCTTCCTATGTTGTGCATGTCTTGCTATCACAATCATGTTTATTGTGATTGTTCTCTTTTTGCTCATTATCGTTGTTATTGAAAAATAAAGTTAGATAAACTTCCATCTTTTGTAATATATGACATGTAATACGTATTTAGTTAATTTCCTGTGTTTCATTTGGTATGTAATATATATTTAAATGGTATATTTTGAACTGCGTTTTAGTTGCTATTGTGTTCTCTTCTCTATTATTCTGGGAGTGAGCTTTAGGGCATTTGTAAAATTTGCTACTGAGGTCATTTACACTCTAAATTTGCATCTTGGTTTGAAAAAAGGTTAGATATATCATGTTTACTACTTCTAATTATTTCATTCCTACCGTGTGTTATTTTGTTTTTTTCTAATGTTGTTCATGTGTTTGGTTTTGCATGAGGTCATTTACACTTTAAATTTACAACTAAGCCTGAAAAAATGTTAGATATATCTTGTTTACTACTTCTAATTATTTCATTCCTGTCGTGTGTTATGTGTTATTTTGTTTTTATCTAATGTTGTTCATGTGTTTTATTTTGCATGAGGTCATTTACTCTTTAAATTTACAACTAACCCTAAAAAAAGGTTAGATATATCTTGTTTACTACTTCTAAATATTTCATTCCTATCGTGTGTTATTTTGTTTTTATCTAATGTTGTTCATGTGTTTTGTTTTGCATTAGGTCATTTACACTCCAAATTTACAGCTTACCCTGAAAAAAGGTTAGATATATCTTGTTTACTACTTCTAATTATTTCATTCCTACCGTGTGTTATTTTGTTTTTCTCTAATGTTGTTCATGTGTTTTATTTTGCATGAGGTCATTTACACTCCAAATTTGCAGCTTAGCCTGAAAGAAGGTTAGATATATCTTGCTTGAATTAAATTTCTGGACGGTGTCCCTTGTTAATTGAATTTTGTGAGCGGTGTTCCTTGTTGAAATAATTTTATGGGCGGTGTCCCTTGTTAAATGAATTTTGTAGACGGTGTCCCTTGTTGAAATAATTTTGTAGGCGGTGTCCCTTGGTAAATGAATTTTGTGGGCGGTGTCCCTTGTTGAATTAATTTTGTGGGTGGTGTCCCTTGTGTTTATTGTGTTTTGAAATTTTGGAAATGTCCATTTTTAAGGGGAAATCATGCCGAATTTTTTAAAAATAAAATTAAAAAATTGAATTTAACTTTGCTTTACTACTATAGGTAATGTCTTGTTTTATATTCAAATTCATTTTTTGCTATTACATTGAAAGACATGGTAGTAAGTTGTAGGCAGTGGCACCAGTGAGATTAATAGGAAGCATTCTCCAGTTACTGCAACTCCAGGAAGGTAGTGATCTCTAAGTTAATCAAATGGAGACCTATGCAAGTATAAAGAAGTGGGTGTACATTTTATGGAATGAATATTAGTGATCTCCACTTGTGTGTACATTTTATGTAAGTGTAATGAAGTGTGTGTGTACACACATACTATTTTTAAGGAATGTCTAACTCCTTATATGTGGAAGTATATATGTGAATGGTGCAACACTCAAGTTCTTAAGATTGTGATGTGCACAGCAAAACTATACGTGGAAGTATATATGTGAATGTTGTTCAGTCTTGTAAGAAAGGGATCTTCCTTGATTGCTTGCTTTTAATCTTTATTCATATTTATCAATTCTACTTATGGTTGGATATTGTATGAAATATTCACAAATCGGTTATCAAAATAAATACTCAAGAAAAAGGAAAATGGTCTCACGACTAAACAAAAAAAATATTACCAATTTGAAGGACCTCCAGTACAAAATTTCAAACTAATCTAGGTGAAGTAAAACTATTCACAAGCTTCAATGACCACCAAATCTCAACTCTGACCAATTCAAGAAGATCAACGTTTTGGCTTTGTTTCTTGTTAGTTTCAACTACAAGGATCTCTCTCTCTCACATTCATCATGAATTTATAATATATATATATATGAAACAAAACAAAGTTAAATGGAATGCAAGTCAAAAGAAAAAGATAAATGGAGTGCAAAGATCTGTTCTCATTGAAAGATTATTACAAAGTTAGATTTGTAATTTGGTTGCCATTAATCATGTTTATGCAGATTTATTCATTATTATAAAGTTTAAGATTTGTAGTTTGGTTGCTACTATATATGTAAATTTATTCATAATTTTTTTTCCCAACTTATTTTTTATTTTATTTTAAATTTTAACAAAGTATCTCAAATCATAAAGAAAAAATGGACTATTTACATATAAACTTATAATTGTATTCATATATATAATTTTTCAAAACAAAAACAAAACAATCTTTACCAAACAGGTATTCTGTTATTGATTCAGAATTTTTGATAACAAAACTAACTTACCAAACGTGTTTTGTTTTCGAATTCCTTAAAATACATGACAATACCAAACACGTTATCATGTTTCTCATATATAATTATAAAAAACAAAAGGATTAATTCCACCTACACCCCCTGAACTTCGACCATATCCCACTAACACCCCCTCTAGGTTTTAATATTTCACGCACATCCCTTGATCTTTAATCATACATTACAAGTTACCCCATGTCGTTAAATAACTAACGGTGTGGGCTGACGTCAGCATAAGAAATTTGTTAAAATGTCAATTTTATCTTTCTAATATATAAAATGACATCTTTAACCTCATTGACCAATACAGAATTACAAAACTACCCTTAATTTGTTAACTCCTTCATTTCACTTAAACAAACGCGCGCACACACATATATATTATATTCATCGTCATCCTCCAACATGATTCTCTCTCTGATTTTGTTCAATCCAATAAATTGCTGATTCTGTTCAATACAATAAATTTTCAATATTTGTGCTAATTAAAATTTTTTTTTAAAAAATTACATAATAAAGCCTAAAAATATTACATTTCTTTCTCTCTAACAATCAAAGATATCCTTCCCAAACTCTAAATCCAACAAACTCCACCCACTGAAATCATCTAAGCCCCTCACAACAATTCCTATATACAAAATTTCCTTCGTTACCAAAAGGATAGTTTTTTTTTTTTGGAATTTCCCCAAAAGGATAGTTGATGTCATATATATCTACATATATACCACATGTAAAACTTCAATCCATATATAAATATATACACATGCGGATGTATCAATAAAATTGATAGGGAAAGGAGAGATGAGATAAATATGGTGAGAAGAGGAAATAGTGGATGGTGACGGCGACGATAGGAGGTGGCGGTGGAGAAAGAGGTGGCGACGGCGATGGGAGGAGATCCGTGCTCGTCGTGGGTTATTTCTTTCTTGCCCATCGCCGGGAAATCCAAACCAGTTTCCTCGCCGAGACCTTTGTGTCGCATTCGCGTGGTTGGCCTCGGACAACAAACCCATCATCGGAACAGTCACCAAGCATCACCCCCACCTGAATTCTTGTTCGCCCACTAGTCGCGATCAGTCCGCCGTCATCTGTGCCTGCTTCTACATCGCGCGCAGGGTACAACTCAACCCCATTAACAAATTCACTGGTTTTCTCTATTGGATTGTGGTTCATCTGATGAGGGCATTTGTCAGTGTTGGCATTAATTGTTTCTTCCATTCCCTTCCTTTATGATCCAAATTCTTTTCAGATCTAAGCTCAATTGCTTTTGCTATTCACAGTTCACGGCTAAGGCAAGTCAAGGACAGATAATAGGAACCCTAATAGATGCTTCAGTATACTTGATGACTTGCTCACACATAGAACAATTAGGTAATAGAAAAGTAAGGGTAGTTTAGTCTTTTAGTTTCATATATAATTTATTTATGAATATTAATATACAATTGAGGGTAAAATTGTAAAATTACACCGCTCTGTTAATAAAATAGGGGGTGTAGGTGAAATATTAAAACTAAGAGGGGTTGTAAGTGGGATATGGTCAAAAATCAGGGGGTGTAAATAAAATTAACACAAAACAAAACAATCTTTACCAAACATTGATCCGATTTCTACTAAAAACATACTAATATCAGAACGATTGTTTTTATATCATACAAAACCATAACATATAACATTATTGTCATCCAAACCGACCCTCGGTCTCTAAAGTTTGCCTCTTCTTTTTAGTGTAAACAATTAATTGAGGGTGGAATGTATAAATATATATAAATATAGACTATATATAGACGTATCTGAAGGTGTCAAGCGTTCACGGAGTGTCTGTCACGTAGCTTCGTACTTCTCAGGTTTAGTTTTTGGCATTTTCAAATGAATTAACTTCTTAAAGGATATTTGACCTATATCTGTCTAATAGTATTTTGCAAGTTTGAATTCTCTCTCTTTCACATCGCTTTTGCTTTCTTTCTAATTTTTTTGGCGCTCTCTTTCTCTCTCTAACTTTCCCCTCTTTCTCTCTCTAACTTTCCCCTCTCTCTCTCATTCACTGACATGGATAAATTATTAAAATATAACACAGTAGAAAAGCTTTTTGCCATAGGGTTTGTAATATAAGTTCATTTTATATACCACCTGTGAAGTCTCGTGAATCTTTTACCAATCACTTTATCTAAAACGGAGTTGGAGATCTACTGTTAGGGTTCTACTACCATACAACTATCTCACCGGATCTAAGGTACTTTCTTTCTCATTTTCCACCACTTTCTTGCTCTTCATTTTCGTTTTTTCTTGGAAAGTTCGTATTTTTCTTCAGTTCTTTCTTTGGGGTTGTTGTTAGTGCTCGCAGTTGTAGCCCTCCTTGTTTGTTCTTCTGTTATTTCGTTACACTGAGCTTAGTTCAACAAGAATTTCTAGAATTATTGCAGTTTATAGGTTTTTGGTGGTCGTTTCTCCGTCTGATGTACAAATTGTTCGCACTATTTGGGTTTGATTTGGGGTTTGTCCAGAATTGTGTAGATAATGGGATTCATTATATACATATTTCCATTTTAGCTTTCATTATTGTTTCATATTGGTCAAAGTTTAATTAAGTTGATGTTTTGAGCTTAATTTTCTCATTGTAGTTGGGCTTCATTCAGACAGATAAATTAATTGTGTACGAAGGAGGCAATGTCACTTGCCCTCTGTTTGTTTGCTGAGAAACTGCCAAATGCATAAAACATGTTGAATTCATAGGAAAATACTATGCATCATTTTTATTTATTTTAATTAACCTGCAAAAGCTGGACTTAGAAAAGAGTTGTACCCAGATAAAAACTACTGGAGGGTTTTGTCTTTCATTTTTCAAATAATGGAAATTAAGACATTCAGGGCTCCGAGTTTTAGACTTCCTCTATTTCTTTCTTGATCAATTGGAGGATTCTGTTCAAATATTAACTAAAAATATTCAGAGTCTTAAGACTTTCTTTTTCCTTTGTTCTTTCTTTCCCTTTCGCTTTTATAGAGACGAAAGAAAACTTCAAGGAAAATAGCTGCGAGATATTTGTTTGGATCCTACTCTCTTTTAAAACTAATGACTGGAAAAGACAAATCACTAATTTTGGAGCTTCAGAAAACCCAAGGAATCAGTTTGAATTTTATGCGGAAGGATAGACTTGGTTCAATTTTCATCCCAAACAAATTGTTAATGCATTCATTTTTTCCTGTTATGACTTCTCCTTTAGAACGTTTGTGCTTCGAATTCACTTTCATGGGATAAAATATCAGAATTTGTAGTGATGCAACATCTTTAAAATATAAAATAATATATTTAAGAGATAAAAAAAACCCCAAACTTATTGTAGATACTTTGCAAAGTGTCATATAGATGTATTGCATGGATATGTTATGTAAATTTTGGATGAAATTTTAATTATGTCGAAAAAAAATGGTGATTTATCGTGAGATATATCAGAGGATTACCGAAAATAGCTCTTATCATGCTGTATGTATATGATATAAATATATTCCTTAAAGTACATATATTTTGGTATCCTTTTCATTTGCTATGTGTATTTCATCTGTAAAGCCTTAAAAAGGCTAAAAATCTAAAAGTACATAGTTTCTGTTGTATAACATGTTATAGATATTGTATACTGTTGACAGAATACTACAAGTATGTCACTAATATGGTAGAAAAATTAATGATAATTTTGAGTTCAAATCATCTAGGAACTTTATGTGTTTGCATCGTTGGTGTGAATGTGGACTACATTTTTTTGGGATAAATAGGACATAAACACATGCACCTATATTCCGATCAAGATTTGATGCTTCTGTCCTTTTGGTGAAGTTGTGGATATATACTGGTATATATTTGAATTTTATTGATATATATGTTTTCATAATTGACTCTCACCCTGCCATTTCTTGTGCACTGGGCTACCCTTTTTTTTGCTCCCACTAATGTTGTGATTAAATTTTTTGGCATTGTAGTTGGTGGTGTAAATATTTGTGTTTTTGTGCTTGCAATGTTTTTGTGCTTGCAATTATCCTTTTGTAGTGTTACATCATTCCTCGCCTGCTTGTCAAATGCCCTCTTGTTGGACCTACGTTTGATGAGGTCCACTAATCTCATATATTAGCTGATAATGGTTGCCTTGGAGGACAATGGATGGATGAGAACAGGGATATTGAAACTTATGTGGGTTTAAGCATATGAAATCTAAAGGAAGTTGAAACAGGCATGTGTTGCATGCTTCTGACTTTTGGAAATTGGGAATCAACAACTTTTTTGAAAATGAAGGATATTCATTATTTTACACACTTACTTCCTTGATTGGATATTTGTAGGTCATAAAAAAACTCTTAAATTAACATTGCTATTAAACCAACTTAATCCTTTTACTGCACATAACAAGTTAAAATGTGCACATGCTATAATGAAGAAAGCTACTGATTTTTCAAATCCAGACACGTGTCAGCTTTTCAGTTTTAGCCTTTTAGGCTAGTTTAAATAGTAGATTTCTCTACCTTTTGTTAGATGTCATCGGCAGCCAGACTACCTCAGTTCCTTGGGGCCTGGGCTATAAAGAAAAAGGACAATACCATGGGATTCACTGGGATTCTTGGATTCTCCTATCGTGGAAAATACTTATTTTTATAGGATGAGTTAAATGGTTCTACATGATGGACTTTCTTACGTTGGAGCAGCATGGAAGGATAGCATCTTGGTCTTCCACACAAGGCATCTCAAACATCATCCAACTTAAAAATACAAAATAGCATTACCTTAGGTAACCATTTCTTCTCTCATCTGGCCCACATCAGTATGGGAGTTGGTGAAGCTTGATTTTACCAGTGGAGCCTTTAGGCGTCTATTTTTAGTCTGTGGCATGATTTTTTTAGTTATAGGCCATGGTGGGCCCTTCTTGTCCTAGCATGCATGCTTTCTCTCTGGGCAATCAGAAGTTTCTCGCTTTTTCTATTGGCTTCTGTGATGTCCACTTCTGGTACAGGATTTCTAGTTTAGAGTGCTACATGATTGTTTGGATGATGATGATGTGTTTTTCAAGTGCGCCTAACTCTCAACCTTTTTTTTTTTTTTAGTGTGGTGTTTTTGATAGTTTTATAAATATATTTTTCTGTGCCTCAATGTTCTTTCTTGTTTGATATTGTATCTGCAGATATGTTGATAGGATCTTTGTAACTTAAGTTGATGCTACAATTGAAGCTTTTTGAAAGGCATCAAACAGGGAGTGCTAGGCCGTAAACACTTAAAATGGAGAAGTATGAAATACTAGAGCAGATTGGGAAAGGTTCCTTTGGTTCAGCTCTACTTGTGAGGCATAAGCATGAAAAGAAAAAGTAAGGGTGCATCCATTTTTTAAACTTTTTTATGCATGCTTATACAAACTTGCACAATTACTTTTCATTCTGGATAGTGTGTGATATGATTCTTTACCATGTTAAGTAAGTTTATATATTATGGTGATGAGTTTTACTTTTCCTCTTTAATCAAGGTATGTCCTGAAGAAAATCCGTCTTGCTCGGCAGACCAATAGGACTCGCAGATCTGCCCACCAGGAGGTCAGTGTCTTTGTTTTGCTTTTATTGTTATCTACATGAAATCAGTTTGCATAATTTGTCGCAAATGATTTGAAAGTTTAATCTTAAATTATATGTGTTCGATATAATCTTAACTGTCTCTTTAACAGATGTGGATTTTAATGAACTTTTTTTTTTTTTTTTTTTTCCTAGTTGGTACTCACACACATTGCCTCCACTCAGATTCGAACCCCTGACCTCCCTTTGGGAAGTAGGGGCCTTGTACCGCTAGGCCACAGGCCTATTGGTGATTTTAATGAACTCTAAATCTATATGTGTGTGTATAATCACACATGCGCGCACTTATATATAGCATCTCGTGCCTATTCAACATTTTAATGCATATATTGAACATAAGCTGCTGCATCTGTTATTATTGTGCAGATGGAGCTTGTCTCTAGAGTGCGAAATCCATATATTGTGGAGTATAAAGATTCCTGGGTAGAAAAGGTCAGTGCATGTTTTCACATCAAACCATTTTTACTAAATAAAGTAATCATAGTTATTGGATATTTGGTCCTTTTTAACCTGCTTGTTTTATTAATCCTGTGCAATTCTCTTAGTGTCCACTTTTTGTTTAATGTTCTTGTGATACTATCTGTTCCTTTATATCTTTTATAACATTGCATACTCCTTTGGGTTGATAAATGTTTACTTAAAAAGTTAAAATTCATTAGATTCCATCTCTATTGAGTGTGAAGTCAGCCATGAATTCTTTGATTTTTTCCTTTAAAAGGAACCTGAAAGTTTATTTATTAGAAGAAGTATACTGTCGTATTTCATTGGGTAAAAATCACACCTCTTATTCTGCTCTTGTACCATGGTGCCCTAATCGTGGAAAAATGTGCAAATCATTCTAGCTTAAGATTTTGATGTTATGTGCCAAGGACGTGTGTTGTTGTTTAGTTAATTTTATCATGGTCGTTTTAGATGTGGCGAAATGAGGTGATAATTTGGATAAAATTGAATGCTCAAAAATAACCCTACAAAGGCTGTGCTTAAATCTTTGTAACACTAAGGTCATTTCAAGAGTGATCGTCAGTACCAGAAGATGTATTTTTTAAGGAAATCTGTAAAGGATAAGAGGTACAAGATACGTAAAAAAAAGTATGTCTATTGCTGCAAATTACAGTCCTGATTTAATTAATTGTTATATCTACAACAGACACCGACTTGACATCTTACAAGAATTTTATCTATGCTTATTACTATCAGCACCCTTGTGACTTGCAGAAGAATCATATATGTCATGCAAGTTGGATTTCTGTTTTCGTGTTGATGTGTATATATATATATATTTTCTTTTCATAATAATGTAAAAGTTCATTAGAGATAGGGAAATACGAACGGGTAATAGATTCATATAAATGAATGGCATGTAGAGATTTAATGAACTGGCTAAAAATTTAATCTGGTGATCGAATGAATTGTGCCCATTCCTTCCTGTATTTTTCGGTTAAAGGCAAAATGTATGACTAATGTTGTATGTTGAGAATTCAATTTTTTATGGAGATGTTATGACCCTCTTTTGTAAATTTTACAATCTAACAGGTGATAGATAGGGAACCTTATTTTACCAAGTTATCTAATTCCTATTATCTGTTTAAGGAACCTTATTTTACCAAGTTATCTAATTCCTGTGTGCCTCTCTCAACATTAACCTTAATTGTTGGGCTACAATTTGGACTGAGGTGGCTAAAAGACCTCAGCTTATGCTGCAATACCTTTTCTTTTTTAAGTAAAGGGAAGTGCCTTGTTGACTGTTAAGGTATTCACACAGCAAGTTGTTATCTTGATTTGCTGTGCATTAACAGCTTTATGTCCTCATTTTCAGGGTTGCTATGTTTGCATTGTTATTGGGTATTGTGAAGGTGGAGACATGTAAGTCATCTTTCTAGTTTAAATGAGTCATTTGAAGAACTGTAGATCAGTTCAATTATTCGTATTATTGTATATGATGTGTTCTTGCTCTTTGTATGACATTTGCACCACTTGTTCATAGGGCGGAAGCTATCAAGAGAGCCAACAGTGTTCATTTTCCTGAAGAGGTTGTTACCGGGCAGCTAACTTATTATGTTTTCTGTTTTATACTTCTAAACATTTCTGAATTCAAAATACTAATTTTCTTTTAAGTTAATTTCAATTGAACTGTGTGAAGAAACTCTGTAAGTGGCTAGTTCAACTCCTGATGGCTCTGGATTACCTGCACACGAACCATATTCTTCACCGAGATGTCAAGGTCAGTGGCATCTCAGTGTGATTTTTAAAGGTTTACTTAATTGTTACACTTCTGAATTCCTGAAGCTGTTCTGTGCTGATTTTGTTTCCACACTTACTTCAGTGTTCAAATATCTTTCTAACAAAAGATCGTGACATACGTTTAGGTAATTTGATACATTATTTTATTCCTGTTAACCCTGAATACCTTTATAACTTTGTTAATGTATATGCCACTTATTGCTTCAGGTTTTAATGATCTCTATGTTGTATAGTGTAAGGTGCTTCAATTAATCTATTGGTTGCAGGTGATTTTGGCCTTGCTAAAATGTTGACTTCTGATGATCTTGCTTCCTCTGTGAGTAGTGTGGTCAAAATTATTGTTCATCTGCCATGATTGTTCTTCTGCATAATCTCATTGCTGTGGCATATATACTCCAATTGCAGGTGGTGGGAACTCCTAGTTATATGTGCCCTGAGCTTCTTGCTGATATACCTTATGGTTCTAAATCAGATATCTGGTCTTTAGGTAAACTCCACACTAGTTTTAAGCTTCAGGTCTAGATTTTTGTCTGTTTCTTTGGTGACCATTTAATATACTCCTAAAATGTTATCCAGGATGCTGTATATATGAAATGACTGCTCATAAGCCTGCATTCAAAGCTTTTGTAAGTTGTCGGTTTTCTGTTTGAATCATTTTGGGTTGATATGATATCTTTTAGAATATCTGTATTTTAATTGCACTCTTATGAATATGGCATCGGCAGAATGGTTATGTGACTTATGCCATATTATTTCAATCTTGTATGACATCTGTAACTGCTGTAGAGATCATTATAACTACTTTAAGGTTTGCAATGATCCAAATATTGCAAATTACATTCTTGGTTCCTTCATAAGAACAATGTTTGTCACGCATGGAGCTGAGCAATAATAATGCTTAAAATTAGCTCGCTCAAATCTTGTTTCGAATATTGTAATATGAGAATGCCTAAAGGTTCTAGTGTGGAGTCTTGTGTGGCTGTTTGTACTGGTTCAATTTACTCCCTATAGCACGTGTAGGAGCAAGTCATCCTTAGAAAGGATTTTTCATGAAATAATATGGGGTCATTACATACTATAAATTCATTGTAAGACGAACTTTTCATAATTCTAATTCTGATTTTACATCATGTGAGATAGATTTGTATTAAATGTTATGAAAATTATGGGTGCATTCAAAGGTACGATGTAAACTATAAAGAATAGTTTCTTTTCACTCGAGTTGCTCTGTTTCATAATGGTTTCCACCTCCTCCACTCCATTTTTGAGTTTTGGTGCAGCACAATTATTTATTATTAAACCTATTAGTCCTATTATGGTAAATTGATTTTCTTTTCACCTTTGTGAGCAGGACATGCAAGCTCTGATCAACAAAATAAACAAATCCATAGTGGCTCCGCTTCCGACCATGTATTCTGGTGCATTGTGAGTCCCTTGCCTTCTTTGAAGTTGCATTCACATATTTCTGATTATCATTTATTCCAGTTGTGTTTTAGCTATTAACAACTTGTACTTCCTTATCTTATTTTGATTTTGATTTTTTTTTTTTTTTGTTTAGTCGAGGTCTTGTTAAAAGTATGCTGCGGAAAAATCCAGAGCTTAGACCAAGTGTAAGTAACATTCTGCAATTTTCTTTATGTAGAAAAATCTTAGTACAGATTGAAAGTTTACAAATACTCTTATGTTTTCTACATTTTTCTACATTTAAGAACAATCTGATGGATTATGAATTTAATCTTTAGGCTGAATATGATCCGTCATGATGTTCCCAAAATCCTATTTCATGCCCGCCAGCGTAATTTCTATATTTTTTTTGTCGTTAATGGAAGAAATCAAATAGTGGTAAGCATGTTAGAAGATCAGGCCATGTATATATCATCTTGCTGAACTGTGAATTGCGGAGTTTCCGCAAGTGAACATGTGAATGGATGTGTTTATGATGTCAAGTTTTGCATGTTTCTCTAATGTTGGAATCATTTGAAATCTTGGCAACTTTAAATTTGTGTCAAAATTTGTACTTTGAGAGAGTGAAAGCTACTTGTATTTATATCATTCTATTTGCAGTATATTAGGAAAACTTCAATTTATATTTGTTCTACCAAGCTTTAGTAAAGTCGAAGCTGGGTAGACCACACACAACAGCATTCTGAAGTCAAATGAGGAAATACATGTAGCAATTATAAATTGGTGCCCCCATATAGTTCTCTTCTTTCCCTGAAGTTTTATTTCTTGCGCAAGGAGTTGGGTTAGACTGGGGATGTAATCTTATAAAATTCCTTTTGAAAAATGTAGCACAAATTTGAACCACCAAATTTGGACTATAGCAGACTTAGCAGTGTCCACATCATATCAAAGCCTCTTATGGCTTGATGATGGTATTAACAGTTTAGTCAAATGTATGTCTTCAACTCTGCCCTTTAAAGTGTTGCTCTGTTTTGCCAGGCTGCGGATCTCCTCAGGCACCCACATCTTCAACCTTACATCCTCCAAATCCATCTGAAATCTAATAGCCCTCGACGAAATACATTCCCAGGCAGATGGTCTGATTCTAACTACGAAAAGAGGACTAGATTTCTTGCACCTGAATCCGTTACAAAGCTAGCGAACAGAGAGAAACGGCGATCATTTAGCAATGATAGGGCCTTAAATCCTAGTATATCTGGAACTGAGCGAAGCTATCCATGTTCTTCTCAAAGAGCTCAGGATTTTCAAAGCTCTTTAAATACTAAGTTCTCAGAATTATCTGTTGGAAGTATCCATGAAGATATAGGGATTGTTAAGTCCACGGCCACAAAGTTTCCGAATGCTGCCAGAACTCCAAGATCAACACCAGCGAAGGCTTCTGCTACTCCAAGGAGACATACAACTCCATCAAAAATATCCAACATTGGTTTAAATCGCGATTCGGTAAGTTTGTAGGTGATGGATATAGAAATTATGCTTTCAGTTTCTAATTTATTGATGTTGAATTGAATAAAGCATTTTTAAGGCTTGCCAAAAAAAAAAAATCCAACATTGTTTTTTAGTACTTGGGAAAAAAAAAAGGCTTGCAATTTTTTTCTGAGAATTTCTGATACCTTCTTTGTATTCTTGGTTTGCAATTACTAATGAAGATGCCTTATATGATAGGCTCAACCTAATATGTTTATTTGTTAATCAGCCATCCCATTTTACCCAGTTAAAGGTAAAAAAAAATTTCCAGAAAAATGCCTGAGAGAATCTTCGAGTTGGGATGGTAAAGTATTATTTGATCGGATTGACATTTTTTCAACGAGCTTGTAACCATATTACTTAGTAACTCATCCACCCCTCTACATGGTATAGACTAGATGTTGTACCTTTGTACACTCTTATCTGGTTTTACCGATCAGATGCAAAAACTAATCTGTAAAATCCTGACAGCTTTAAGGTGCTAGTGTATTTCGGTAGGTATATAATAACATAGCATGCTCATATTTGCAGCTTCCAGCATCACGTACTCCAGCAAGTAATCCTTTCAGACCAACGCGCAGAGCTTCTCTTCCATTGTCAACAAGAGGCGCAGCATTAGAGTCACCTCATAAACCAAGCATGGGTCTCCTCCATAGCTTGGGGTCTCCAGATGTCTCTGTCAATGCTCCAAGAATTGACAAGATGGTCGAATTCCCCCTAGCCTCATCTGAAGAACCCCTCTTCCCTGTTCGCAGAACTTCATCAACACCTGCACATTGTTCTTCTACATCGCCAAACTGTGGTGACCGATCAATCACAAAAGACAAGTGCACTGTTCAAATTCTGGATAGAACATTTGCCAGGCCACACATGGTTGATGCTGATCGCGGAGTTCCACAAAATGGAAGTGAATGTTCAGAGCAAAATCCAACCACTGTGGTTTCAAGCCGTTCGTCTTCAGATTCTCGGCAACGTCGGTTCGACACCTCGTCGTACCAGCAACGCGCTGAGGCATTGGAAGGGTTGCTTGAGTTCAGTGCGCAGCTCATGCAACAAGAAAGATTCGAAGAGCTTGGAGTGTTATTGAAGCCATTCGGACCTGAGAAGGTTTCTCCTAGGGAAACTGCTATCTGGTTGACCAAGAGCTTCAAAGAAACTGGTGCCTAGCAGAACACTATAACACATTGCTGCTGCTTGTACATTAGCTTTGCTGTCGATGTTTAATGTTAAACGGAGAGGATTATCAGTCTTGATTTGTCGAAACTGGTAATGTAGGATGGGATCTTATTTATTTCCCACATCCGCGGGAATGGTTTTGGATTCTGAAGTTCATCAAGAAGCTGTAAATTGAATTCTTCTTTGACTTGAAACTGTGCCAAATCTTTTAAATTGTCTTAGGATAATGAATCAGTATGTTTCACAGTGGTCACCTGACTTTTGCTAACTCCATTTTTTGATACATAGGCAAGTTTTTTTCAGCACTTTTGGAGTCTGAAATTTTGACTACTTTTGAATTATGGCTTTATTGGAAGGGAGTATGTCAATATAGAATCAATTTTCACATATCATGAAGCCTCCAAATATATTGTTCCAATTCTGAAAATCCTTGAGAGTACAAAACCCCTGTAAACTTGAGTCAATTTGTTATGCTCTATGTTGGTAATTCTCTGCACAATAATGTTTTATCTATTGTAAAGAGACTCAAATGTTAACAAAAGTAATTTCCTATCTTGTGAAAGTGGATTATTCAAACTGTCCTAATCCATGGATAAAAGAAAGACAAATCAGTAACTCATTTTTAGTCTTCTAATACTTTCTAGTTGATGAGTTCTTTGTCAATATATACTGTAGGGGTTCTTTTTTACTAGGTAATAAAACAACAATAAAATAGTGATATCAGGAATACAAATACGAAGGAAAACAGAGGAGATGCTCAGTGCAGGAGGAGGAGAAGAAGACCAACTATCAAGATCAAGATGGTGGTAGGGCGAGTATACAGTATTTCATGACAGCTTTTCTTCCTTTCAGGGGGTTGGTTCTTTTTTCATAGGACAGTGCCATTTATAGATCTAGATTTCATTGGTTATTATCCAATGGTCCCTTTTATGCATGGTCCCTCGCATGCATCACCCCCAATCCGGATTACGTGAGTAATCCTGAAGATTTAGGAGTTTGAAGGGTCTAATCCTTTCCTCGAGTCTTGTCCCATGTTGCCATGTCACTTCTCCCTTAATCAGGGGTATTAAATGTTGCTTGGCCGTCGGTTGGTCAAGCCTGACATAGCATTAATTGTGATTTTAAGGTTTGTTGTTATGACGTGTATAATCCCATCATCTTGTTAATTGGGCCTTGCCGAGAGCGAAGGCACCTCTTGACTTCTCATCCACCAATCCAAGATTCTCCTAAGTTTCCCAAACATGGATTCCTATGACACGAAGATCCTACCTTCATCTCATGCTAAGGAACTCCAATCTTTCAAAACAGCATCGTCTGGCGTAACACCAGGATTCGGGATATTCGAGAGTCGGTCTCTTGAGACTTGATGGGTCTGGTGTGGTGCCAGGGCTTGGAATGCTCGAGGATCAGCTTCGCGAGGCTTATTGGGCCTGGAGTGATGCCAGGGTTTAGAGTGCTCGAGATTTGATCTTTCGAGGCTTGATGGGCTTGGAGCAATTCCAGGGCTTAAAGTGTACGAGATTTGATCTTTCGAAGCTTGAGGGCCTGGAGCGATGCCAGGGCTTAAAGTGCTCGAGATTTGATCTTTCGAGGCTTGAGGGCCTGGAGCGATGCCAGGGCTTAAAGTGCTCGAGATTTGATCTTTCGAGGCTTGAGGGCCTGGAGCGATACCAGGGCTTAGAGTACTCGAGATTTGATCTTTCGAGGCTTGGGGGCTTGGAGTGGTGCCAGGGCTTAGAGTGTTCGAGATTTGATCTTTCGAGACTTGGGGGCCTGGAGCAATGCCAGGGGTTAGAGTGTTCGAGATTTGATCTTTCGAGGCTTGGGGGCCTGGAGCGATGCCAGGGCTTAGAGTGCTCGAGATTTGATCTTTCGAGGCTTGAGGGCCTGGAGCGATGCCAGGGCTTAAAGTGCTCGAGATTTGATCTTTCGAGGCTTGAGGGCTTGGAGTGATACCAGGGCTTAAAGTGCTCGAGATTTGATCTTTCGAGGCTTGAGGGCTTGGAGCGATGCCAGGGCTTCGAGTGCTCAAGATTTGATCTTTCGAGGCCTTTGACTTTTCAACTTGCCATGGAGGATTTAGCTAGGGTTGTATTGACTTGTCAACGTGCCACATTAACGTCTAATGAGTGACACCCACATTTTGCCCCCCTGCATGTGTGACGATTCGACATGAATTATTGCGCGTGCAAGACTAGGTTTCTAGGTCATTTATTGTTTTGAGGAGGTTGAAGAGACGCGAGCATGAAAGGTCGCCTCCAGTTATTAATGCGTCGGCTGTTGCCGATTTGATTTTTGGGGATTCTTGTGGTAAGAGGGCTATTAAAAGGGAACAGTGACGGAGTAAAGGGTTTACTTGTGAAAAGAACTTAGAAAGTACTGAGATTACCTGAACTTCCATCGTCCCCAGAGAAAAGATCTTACGAAAGTTTAAAGTTCTTTGGTTCACTGTTGTTCGTAGTGGAAGGGACTGCCACCATGGTTAGCAAGAAACAAGAATTATGCAAAAAGGATTGCCCTCCGCCAAAGGTGCTAGCAGATTCGGAATGGCGACAGGCACCATTTTTTAGAAAAAATGACCTGTTTTGGCACTGGGCGAGCAAGGTTGTGGTTGCTGGCGAACCGCTTGAAGTGGTTGAATTGATGGAGGAGGAAGTTGAAATGAACCTGGCTCCTCGCATCCCTGCGGATACGATCCTGCAATTTGGGGTCGAGCAAGGGCAATATCCATAGTCTTATGTGAACTTTAATAATCACATAAGTCCGGCCCATAGTTGGAAAAAATGGACGGACGCGATCCTTGCAAACCTGGAGTACAAGGCAATTTTCGATGCAGCGAGCTTGACATCGTGTATTAAGCTGTTTCGCCAAATACACATTCCTCGCGACACTGCAGGTTTATGGGAACTAACTTCGCGATGGAGCTCAAGCTCGCACACTTTCATTACTGCGTGGGGAAAGTTCACTCCCACTATTGAGGATGTGAGCCAGTTGCTAGGGCTACCTTTTCAATTGGTAGAGAATTTTGGCTCTTGGGAGTTCATGTAAGCTGAAGAGACTTTAGCTCATGATCTCGAGACGGCTCTGGAGAAAACCAACGATTTTAGGTCGTTGTGGGGCGCACAGGGTGTTCGCCATGTTGAGCGAGGCAAGGGTACACGCAAGGCCACTCTTGGGGCGTTGGTGCGATACTATTTTAAGGACTTCCCAATGACAAAAAAGAATCTCTCAGAGGAGGGAAGAAAAGGGATTCCAGGTCCCTGAGCTGATCATTCTTCCAGTCTCGCGGCCTATTTACTATGTTGGCTATCGAGATACCTTTTCGAGGGGACTCCGGAGGATGCTCCGCAGCCACGACTTGTGGATCTGACGGTGAAGCTGGCGAGTGGTGTGAAAGTGGCCCTCGCACCTCTTTTTTTGGGAACATTGTACCACCGTCTTGATATGGTGTGGGAAGACATGGGACGGTCTGTGGGGCACTATGTCCATTGCTCGTACGCGTCTACCATCTTTATACAAATGTTCCTGTATGAAAGGTTCTAATCTTATGCTCTCATCCTAGCAGACTTGGCTATAGACGAGGAGGTGGTGTGAGGCATGAGATGGCATGGTTGGTCGCCGCGAGGACGGTTAGGATATGCCTTAGACCAAAGCTTCCAATTCATTAGTTGCCCCTATGCGGTGGACCTGCCTGCGGCTAAAACTCTGCCCATGTATTTTGATGATAATGAGCACATTCCAGCTGGTGCTCAACGTTTGAACGCAAGCGAAGTGTTGGTGTTCCTGTTGATGAGCACCCCTGGCTACTTGCCCGCGATATGGGAAGGGGGCCAAATAGCAAAGACTTATAACCCTCGCAGAGTCCTTTTGCAATTTGGCTACGACAGGGGGGTACCCTCGCAATACATCTTTGTGGAGGGCGAGGACTCTTACGAGAGTAGCTTCGCGAGGTTTATAGCGGCTCACATTGGGCTACTCCGCGAAGGAATTGGCGCTGTCTTCCTGCCAAGAAGGGGCAGGGTCCCGAGATGTACAGAGACGGCTCGCTCGCTATGGGCAATAGAGTTAGCGAGCTAGAAAGATTTTTGTCAGAGTCTCGCCCATCGTGCGAAGGCATTGGTGATCTATTCGGTAGACCATTCACTGAGGCCTTCAATAGAATTTGACAGGGGGGACCTCTGTAACTTCGCGCCTGATCGTGTACCCACCGTAACACAACAAGGGGAAACCTCGCAACCCGTCATGCGACCGCTAATCCTGTCGTCGAGGCAACCCCAGTGCCTGTCCGTAGGCACAAGACAAGGGCCACTTCACGAGCAAACCTTCCCCCCCCCCCCCCAGCAAACAAGCAGCTGTAAGTGTTGCAGAGCCGGCCATTGCTAGCGCGAGGGAGGAGAGGGTAAGGCCTCCAGCGCCAAGTACATCTTGACCCATAGCCTCCACGAGCAGAATCCCACTCGTGGATGAACCAACTGAGAGTGAGGATACAACCACTTCTGAAGATGATGGTGAACAGCCTCTCATTGGAGAGCATGGCTCTATGGCTGCAGCCTTTGGGCTAGGGCAAGGGGGGTTGCGCTGGCGAGATGGTGGAATTAACACTACTGTCCATGATATAAGCTCAGGTGAGGTACTAGCTTCTGACAGTGAATTTTCAAATTTACCTACTTTTAACTTTATGAAAGCCTTAGGCGAGAATGCCCTGTATTGTTATAGTCAGAAGGACACTTCAGCTAGGGTGAGAGAGGAAGAAATAGAGGAGCTAGTGCTGGATGTCTCGCCTTTCACCACCGTTCGAGATGTACCTGTGCGTACGCATGCCGCTGAGGTGGCAGAGATGATGCAAGGGTATGTAAGTGCTACAGCGCCACCTCAAGCGAGCGTTGACATTGCTGAGGATACAGTACTTCCCTGAGAGGGGGAAGATATATCTCGAGACGATGCCTAAATGAGGGCTGAGAATGGGTCAGGATCCCTAAACCCTGAGGTGACAAATCGTTCTGGCGATGCTGCAGCTGGGTCACCCAGGGGCGAAAATGTAGAAGTGGCCTGACGAGATAATACAGATACAATTTCGAGCTTGCCCATGGAGATGCGAAAGCCCTCACAACCGAGAGATGAACATATGGGAGAGCACGCCTCCTCCGAAAGGGGCGAGGCCTCTGATCGAGACCCCCAAGTCTCGCCTTTAGAGACACAGGAGATAGAATAGGCCTCTCTGGTAAGCGATGAGACATTGCAAGAGGAGATGGT